TTCTTTTAATAAGTAATAAACTACATATTTCACCTTAAAGTAACAATTTCCACGTAATATTTAGCATTTTAAATCACTAAACAATTATAAACTAATTGTCGACTTCTTTTTTATTGATTTATGAACCTAAAACCGTTTTTGGCGGCCATTTTGTATTTTTGTGGAACAAATTTTTTGTTTATAGATTTATTACACTTTTTAATACACTTGTGGTTAGTTCAAGTACACGAGTTGGTACTTACCGTACCCAATGAGCACTCATTATGCATAAATAATTATTATAATAAGAAAAGCAAACATTGAATCTAGTACGAGCCTGTCTGACGCCGCGTTGTCGGCCGTCATCGCCCGTCCACCAAGTCAAAAAGCATAAAATTCTTATCCTTAACTTAACTTAAAAAATAAATTTAAGTAATGCTTTCAACAACTAATATAGTAAGTAATATGTAATTTTATGCTTTTTTTCTGGACTTACATATATTTTTGATTTAAGATTTTGTTTGCTTTTGAATTATTCATCAAATGTGCCTTGCGGCTAACTTTTTTGTTCGCCTCTGAATCAATATTACTAAATATTGAATGGGTCGGCACAACAAAGCGTTCAGCCGACCGGCGGACGCGAAAAAGAGGAATTAAGTGCAATTGCTGTATTGGTGTGCGCTTAAGCAATGAATGACGAGACGTGAAGCGAGTGAAAATATTGATGCGCCGTGAAAACATGCTCGAAAATCATGGTTTCACGCTCGATAAAACGCATTATTCGGTATTATTCGGGTTGGTATTCATTGGATATTGGTAAAGACATTGTGTGCCAGTTTGTTTGACATGTCGTTGACTGTTAAACTTGAAGAGGAAGTGACGCCATTTTTATAAAAAGAAAATTTCAGAAAAATATCAAAAAAGTGATTTTGAACGAAATTAGTTTAAATTTTGAGCGTTTTCTGCATGTTAAACCAACAAATCAACATTCAATATTGTCATTAACAAATATTTTCTCCCCAGAACCTAATATTTAAAGCACACACATCAGATTGACTCTTGTTGACCTAAAATAAGCACTGCGACACCTCAATAACTATTCTGTTGTACTTACATTATACACTTACATTGCCAGACTCAATATTAACTTGTATTCACGATAAATTTGCAGAAAATCTCGACGTCAACACTTTTGAGTTTGATTATCTTCGTGTAGTTTTTGTGTGAAGAAATTGGTGTATTCTGTGCGCATTGAGTGCTTGATTTGATGCTGGATTGTTTGAGAGACGATGCGGCCAAAATAAACGAATGTAACGCGTGTGTAAATCGAGTAATAAGCACATATTTGATTGTTTGTACGTGCATTAGTGTGTCACGTTTAGTCGCGCTACACAGCCGACACGCATCCTTGTAGCATCATCGTCTTACTACAAAATCAACGGTGGAGTGTTTAATTTTATAATTATTTGCACGATGTTTAATTCAAATATGTTTAGCGGGTGGAAAATTGACTTTGGGTTATACGTTAAGGCATTTTACAGCTTTATAGTGAAAAAATTGTAAAGTTACTGAAAATTACAAAGATTACGTATTTATTTATAACATAACCTTACTTAATGTTACTTGAGGTATAAAGTAGGAAGGCAACATTTATTTCTTTTATTTTGTGCAAGATTTTAACTAAAAAATATTGAAAAATTCATAAATTCGTTCAAATATAAAATAAAACACCAATTATAGTGCATAACTCAACACTGACGTCACTTCCTCTATTGTAACCTAATCAGAAATCTGAAGAAATAGCAGCCATTGGCAATTCAATTGATTTTTGAGGTTAAATTTTGTTTTTACTGATTAATTCGAAGAAAATTGAAATTTTTCGTTTTGTTAACTTAACATTGACCTCACAAGCTGTGCCCAAATGCCCAAACACAAGATTTTAATTTTTCTGCTAAAATATAATTGTTTATCCCCTAAACTAACATTTTTACCATCAAAATGAGTTATTTTTGAGTATTAGAAAGCAATTTTTCAAAATATTTTAATATTTAACACCGATTTTAATATAAAGGATTTCTGAGCATACAAAGGTAAATCCTCTACTGTTTGCATGTTTATTGACAACAAATTTTGATTAACTCCACTCCATCTCATTGCGCTGATGCGTGCTGTAACTCCAATCCGAGTAACCCACAGCAAATGTAGCAAAACAATCGAACAAAGTCGGTCAACACACGTTTGAGAGCATAGCATCATGCACACACGCATTCCTGGAATTCGACCAGTCTGGCATTATTTGCATTGTGCATGCGCAATAGCGCACTGGAGGCAAACAAACGAATGTTATTAAACGCATTCGCTCAAAGTCAAAGTTCACATGCACGTCCTAACGCGCATTATTACACAGCAATATAGTTGCTTATAGATACATGTAATCATATAATAAGCTAATGAGCATCCCGATAAGTCTATTAAATTCGATTTGTTTGTTTTATTTATTCTCATTGTATGTATGCATGTGTGTGTTGTGTGTGTTGCCTAACGTTTGACCGGTTTTCATCTCTGTTTGCGAACAAGACAAATTTGTTTACGTATTAAATCGTCGCGCATTTCTTCCTTCGGCTAGATTCAGATATAGATGTTATATTTACATGTTTGGCGATGGCGCGCTGAACTTGGTTACATTTCCATTAGATTGTTTTTCGACCGTCTTGCTCGCGCATTTTCGTCCGGAATGTGTTTGCGCGATGCGAATGAGTGAGAGAAGTGAACGAATGCCTTGCGATGCGCGATTGTTTGTGCGTCGTCAACATTGAAACAATCGACGATCGTGTAAACATATTTAATTAGGCCGACGTTTATCGACACGACGACGACGACGGCGACGACGAACGCGAAAGCAAAATCGAATTGATTACTTACGCTCAATTTGTATGCGCGCTCTAATTTTAATTCACAGATTTCGGTTAACCTCAAATACTGGTTTTGTCTACAGATGGCGCTGATGGTAAAAAATTTATATTTTCGGGGTTTTTCAAGGTGTATGAATGGAATTAATGAGTTATTTATAACGACGATCAAATTTATGCTATGCTCCGACTTGGTTGGGTTGTGTATAGCACGGCGTTCGCAACTTACAACTTATTTCACCCTCTGTTTGCTCACAAAGTTGTTCGCTATTGAAAATTCGTCAGCGCGCGCGAGGAGGGATGCAAAAAGGGATGGTGGCAGTTGCCACGTTTGATTGTTGCGGACTGCGCGCAGGCATGCTGGCCCGGCGCTTTTTTCGATTCACGCACACGCACTCGCTTTTGGCATTTAGCGCGAGATGATGACAAGTAGACCGGCAAACTGCAATCCTTAAAATAAACAAAGGGTGTTTCAGCGTTTTCGACATAGGGTATAAGACCGGCGCATACAGGAACCGGGGATGTGATGCACAGAGATCAATTTATAGCCAGGAGCGAATACTAAACTTTTAGTGATAGAAAAACGTAGATTTCGGATTCATTCATAGTGATGGTTTGTTGCTGTAAGTAACAAATCATTGGGTTTTGAGATAAATGTCTTTGATTGTTGGAATTCTTTTTTTTTTTTGCAAGGAAACATGCATTATGCGGTAAATTTGCTATTGTAGCGGATAAACTGCGCCTCGGGGTCGGTTAATGGGATAAAGCGCGTGACGAGTGCACTAAAATGTTAGAAACATGCATGAGGGATGAATAAAATGCCGATTTTTTGGATGATCTATCTTTGGATTACGATAATCTTTTGCATCCTGTTGAGATTTAACAAAAAAATTAATGTTACGCTACGGTAATCTTAAAAATTGCAAAATTTTTAGGTTAGAATCGATTTTTTTTTCACTTTAATGACTTTTTATACAAATTTATTTGTATAAAAACTTGAGATTAATTGAAAAATTTAATGAAAAATTTAAATATCACACAAGAAAAAATGGAAAACATAAATTTGAGAAAATATCTTAACCAAGACTTCAAAAATTCCGATTTTTTGCAAGATTTATCTTGAGATTACAAAAATCATTCAAATTCTTTTAAAACTTATTTTTAAAAACGATGTTAAACTATCAAAATCAACAAAATTTTACAATTTTAAAATTAAAATATTTTTATTGATTAATGACGTCATATAAAACATTTCCTTATGAGAAATTTCACTTTCTCAAATAATATCAAAATTATTATATCATTAGATAGTCATTAACCACTTCCTGCGACGTTTTATCCTCCACGTGTCTCTGGAGCGTCGGCAGGCGGCGTTCACGTGTGCTGTCGCTGTCACTGTGTCCTGATGCCGCGATACTCGCAATTCGTCGCGTGTATTGTTATTATTTTGACCGCCCGTCCTGGTGTTCACCCTTTCGTCCGCTCACACTCACACGCAGGTCACGTGTCAAACGGGCAATCGACGAACAATTACGGCGATCACTTCACTCGAAAACTTTTTCTTTCACTGCGCGCCTATTTTTCACCCCCACAACAAAACGTTGGATAATGTGTAATGTGTAATATGAATCGGTAATAATTTATGTATGCATTATGCATGTGCGGCGGGACGAAGAAGTGAGGTCAAGTTGTAGAAGGGGTTGTTGTTGATGTGTGTGGGTGAGGAAATAATCTATCGGGTCGTCTGTCCGGTTGTTGTATTCTATACCTGTGTTTTTTTCGGGACAAAAAGCGGAAATGCGATGTGAATACCGCGCTCGCATGTTTTCGCTTCATTAATATTGGTTATGTGATCGTTACATGTTACCCGAGTGAATGCGACGCTTAATGGATGTACGTGTAATTGTCGTACACGTTGGCTGGTGGTGAATTATTGCCGCTGGGACTAATTAATGAGGGAATAAATCTTGTTTCGTGTTAGGTGGTATTAGCTACTTGTGAAAACAATCAGAAATTTATTTTTCAATGACAATTTTATTATATGAATAAGAATTAAGAAGATTACATAGATTTCCCATACCAATACTACTACTAGAAACTAATAAGTACATTATGTACCAAATGCCTACCAATCAAGTTACATTATTTTGATCAAAATTAAATTTGGCTTTATGGCTTGGATTGTATAGGTTGCCTATTATTGATAAACCGATCTATGAGACCGACTTCAGCATTTTCTTCTTGGGTTGTAGTATTGCGGCGTTTATTTAGTATCCTCCGTAATCCAAAAAATGCCAAAATTACTAAAGAAGTAACACACACTCCAAAGATAAGAATTTCCATTAAAGTTAATCCATTGGCGTGGACGGTTGAATTTATTTCATGTGTTGTGTTTGCAATCGGTGGTGATGTGATTAATGTATTCGTAGTAGTAGTTATTTGATCATCTTGATCAACTTTCGTTGGAAGAATGATATGTCGTTGCAAAAACACGTTGAGCAATTCGTCGTTTACCAACTGTAATCTTGGAAATTTTTGGGGATTAAATGTGTGCCAGTCGAGTTCATCGTTGCGATTTACTGTGATCTTCTCTAAATTTGGCCAATTGTCGTCAAGTGGAAATTCTTTAAAATGATTACCTTTTGCCTCGAAATTATTAATATTCTTGGTTGTTTCTGATGTTCCTGTTAGCTTTACGTTCGGGTTATTGTTGATTACAAGCCTTTCCAAGTTTATTGTGGAATTTAAACAAGCTAAGTTGAATGTAGTTAGCAGATTTTGACCTACTGAGAATTCTTTCAAATTCGGTTTGTTTCTCAAAATCAAACATATTGATGTATCATCTAGTCTGTAGTAATTGATAGACAATATCTCTAATTTTTTAAGTTTAGTCAATTTCTTAAGGCATGCTTTTGGCATATATTCTGGTGGTACATGAGGCTCTTTCACAAGTTTCAATGATGTAAGGTTGTCGAAGTCACGGCTTGCTTCGAGAAATTTCTCGCATGTTTTTGGAAATATGTGGTTTGTTGCAATTGTAGTTGTGATTAGTTCGAGGATAAGCAAAGATAAAATGAGCTTGTTCTGAAACATAAAAATGTGCAAATTTAATTAAAATAATTATAGGTAGGTAATAACAGTAATTGCGGACGTACCATATTGAAAGCTTGTTTAAAAGTAATCAAAATGAACAAAGTTGTGGTGGATACTTTGTCTATGAGCGTTGTTTTCAGGTAAGATTTACTTTTCAACTGATATAGGTAGAGGCATTTGGTTCAAATATTTAGGTACCTATCTGTTCAAGTAGGTATGTGGGTGCAAATTTGATATTAGAGATAAGCAAATGGAAAGTGTACTGTATCGTATGTCGTTTTTTTATATGTATTTCAAAGTACAAGTAGAACCAACCAAAATGTGGTTTTTTTGGTCATTTTATCAGCTGTGTATTTTGCACGTATTTATTTATGATGTTTATTTACACAAATGGAAAAACAGTTTCTAGAGAGACTAATATCTATTCCAAGTGATTATTAGGTATTTATTTTAATAATTTTTCATAGTTAAACCACCATCTAGAATATTTTCTAACGTGTTCATAAATATTTAAAGCACTTTTACATTTTATTTAAGCAAGTTTGACACTGTTGTCTTGTGTGCACCTAACATAACTTACATATACCTATTCATAACATAACATTGTAACATTTATATTTTATATGCCACAGTGGCAACGACTGTACCTACTGTTGTTGGCAAATGCGGCACGCGAAAGCGACAAAAAAGCAACATTACACATAGGTACGTGAAGCACGTGAAAAAAAAGCACGAAGCTTTCCGAAACGCTGATAAATATTATATAAGCGCCGCGGCTCCCATCGGCGTGACCTATTCTCCACTTTTTTCGCTGTTGAGCGTTCGTTACATTTTACGGCCTTGTTACGAATTATGTTGATATTTTTTATGTTTTTCATGTTTCTACATTGTCTCTTGATAATAACATAGGTAACTAGGTATAAAATATTGTAAATATCTGTAATCATTTTTTAAATTCTATTTTAAACACTTATACCTAAAAGTTATATCTAAAATCGGATAAATGAACATCATGATTTTTTTGAAAATGAAAGTTAAACTTTGGCAAACGTCATAGGTATCAGAGATAATGTACACAGCGTTATTCTGGGAATTTTCACAATTGTATATATGTAAATAATACCAAACAAGGTAGCCTACCTAACCATATGACTTATTTGAAATGTCCGGTGCTAGGGGTATGGCACAAATATGTGTCCGGTACTAGGTGCCACTTTTTAAAACTATACTTTTTATTACCAAAGTTTGATTGATAGTATTAATTATTTTTTAACAGAGGTTGCATTTTTGTTATTTTAATTTGATTTCTAACTTTGTTATCTACTATAGGGAAAGTAGCCATATTTGGACCATTTTTATATTTTTTGATTTATAGAGCCACATATAAACTGTCAATAAAAATTAAGTAGCGGAAAAGTAACTCACAAGGCTTACCAACAAAATGATATTTTTGGTTTAAGTAAAAATTATATTTATACCCCTCAAATTTCAGTTTAAAAAAATTGTGTTTTTGGTCCAAATTAAGAAACCGGTTTCCTAAATTGGACCGCGCGGTTTCCTAAATTGGACCATGCTTTTTTAACGGCTATTGACACAATAGTAAATTTTAGTTTTAGCAGTAACACAAGCACATTTTGTATAAACCAAAGTGCGGCATTTCATACAGTGAATCATTTCGAAGATTTGTGCTCGTCCACAAGCTTTTCTAGGAGGTCGAAAAAATGATATACGTTTTCCCTGTTAAAACTCCGGTGCCTGTCTTCGGTCCAACTTCGGCAACTTGAAGAATTTATATTTAATGATCAACGACAATCTTAATATAACATAACCTCTCAAAATTAATACTATAAATTATAGATAAATAAAGAAGCTTTCTGATGATAAAATAATAATCGGTAAAACTAACGTTTTAACGGCTTAACAGCTCTTGCACTTACGTCGTTATAATAGATTTGATAATCAATGATACACGAAGTTGTTGTCACGACGAAAGCACGCGGCAAGTTTTAACCCAAATAGTTGCATTAATTGTTTATAAATAAGAGTAAAACAAGGGGCCAGTCAATTTTTGCATAAACTTCAACAGTCCGCGGATATCGTGGTGGTCCAACTTAGGCGCTGGTCCAAATTATGCTACCTTCCCTATGTCATAATTTAATTAACATTTCTTCAAATATTTTTTGATTTATTTATAATAAACCTTAGGTGTCCGCCACTAGGGGACTTCCCCGTAATAGTACTTCAATTGTACTTCAAAATTGCATACTTCAATTAAATAGGATAACGAAAATATATCTATACTAACTAGATCTTATGTGTAAACATAAATATTTAGTTGATAATAATCAATTATCTACTTAATGTTCAAATAATCATTAACCAATACAAAAAAAAATCTTTCTCATTTTTTAAACGTTTCTTATTGAGTTAAACTCGCCGTTTCTTGACGTTTTCTTAGTATTGCATCGCGTATGGAAGGTTGTGAAACGAGTTTGCTCGCTGTGGGTCATGCCTTCGTCGCTTCGTGAGTTTCTGAACCGTTTACGCCCCACCCAGCCGTTGTGTACACAACCAATCGGCGCTGGTCGCCGTCTGATAAAGTCCATCGCCGGGTCCATCGCGACGACGGCAACACAAGCGCGCTGCGTCGAGCGCACTTTATAATATCCGCTAAAAGATACCAGAACTTGCTCGGCGGCGGACATGAGGAGTGTTCATAACCTGATAGAAGCGTCGTCCAGCTGGGGCCGGATAGCCTTGGCACGTCTCGCCTGCTGCCATTACAGCTACACACCATTTACATATTCATGAAGCCATTATGTACGTTCATTACGTACCATAGATATCTCACAACTAACAAGTCATGACAGACGGGCAGTAGATTTACTTAAGTGTTACAAAATATCCGCCATGTTGTATTTAAAATTTTTAAAAATTTTAAAATAAAAAAGTTGGATTTTAACATTTTGAGAATAAGTATAGTGAGAATATGTGAATATGGAAAACGAAGGCGCCGCGCGTTTTAAGTTTGAGGGACGTTATATGAACGATATCTCGCGACGGAGACGCCGGCTGATGGCGTGGACAAAGCGTATGTACATAGGACCGGGAAAAGCAAACAGCCCGCGTCACAGCGTCGCACAACTCGCACATCTTCCCTATTTCAGCCGCCATATGCAATACAATACGCATGTGAAGATATTGCCACGAGGCGCACATTTTAAAATCGCTTTTATTTTCACATTTCCACCGCAGATTGACTCATCAATCAATCGTCGAGCATTATTCATCGAAGAAATCAAATAAAAACAATAAAATAAAAAAGTTTTGGTTTTACTAAGCAGATATTACCTATGTAGTACTAGTCAAGAGATTTTTCTCATGTGTGTGCATATTTGTTGACACAAGATGGCCGCCCGCGCGCGCACATCACATCCGGCGCTTCTTATCTCGCCGCGCCGTGAGTACTGTGAGTATATGTGAGTGTGTGTAGGTACCTGCCAGAGAGAATAATATGGCCGCGCGCGCAAAGAGAACATGCGACCATGCGAGACCATGAGACCATGCGGTTAATATGAATTACGGCATGCAGCATCCTCGCTCGTTTGCTGTTTGCTCACACAGTCACACTGCGCACAGCGATTGTTGACACAAGTTGTATGGGTATGTGCGCTTACTTACAGGCAGTGGTATTGCTCTAGAGCGCTGCGAAACTGAACTAAAACGGGGTATAACCTCATTTATGCGTTTAACCGTAAATTTCAATACAAATTTTAGGTTGTGGATATTTAAAAAAGCATTTTGTTTGTTTTTTGTGTTAAAGTTGGTTAAAACCAGTGAAAAAGTTGGTAAAACAGAAAGTTTTAAGTTTTTTCGAAGTTAATTTGAGGTTAGGAACGTAATTTATTTCTTGTCTTCTCAAATTAATTTTAGTATCATCAGTTTTATTTGTTTTTTTGTTACAAAATTGATTAAAACCTCTGAAAAACGAGGAAAAACTTATAATTTTTTTAGTTTTTCTAATGAATTATTAATTTTTGAAGTAAATTTGAGGTTAGGATAGTATTTCATGTACAATAGTATAGTTATCTTCTATAGGAATTATCAACTTGATTCGATATTTTGTTCTAAAATTTATCAAAAACTTGAAAAAAGTTGACTTTTTTTCAATTTTTTTCTGATAAATTATTAAGTTTTTAGGTAAATTTGAGGTTAGGAGCGTCTATTAAGTCACAATTAATCAAAATAACTGTTGATCTATTAATTTGATTTAATTTTTGCTTAAAAACTTGAAAAATCTCGCCAAAACACAATTTTTCTATTTTTTCATAAATTAGGTATGCTCTTTTAAGCTCCGCCCATATATTTTTTTACGTTTTGAGGTTATAACCTGTTCTCTATGACCATACACCTCCCACTCCTAGAGTTAATTCATGTTAATTCAAGCATGTCTCATCATCAAACGCGATTAATTACCTATAATTTCCATGCAAATCATGCACAAACTCTTGCACTCGCGTCCCCGGCTTTTCTCGTCTCGGAAAACCTAATAAAACGCGCTCGGTGCGCCGCGGCCGCGCGCAAACACAATATAACCAGTCGTAAAGTTCGTAACAAGCTAATAATAAATTGTTACGAGCGTGCGACTCGCTCTCGTCGTCTTATGGCCACCTTTGCATTACGTGCATTGGCTGGAGCGCGCGCGCGGCTTGGTTGTTTTATCTTTCGGCATCGCCGCCATCGCCGACGTCGGCGAACATAAATTACAAAGAAAAACCGCTTGCGTAAAACTATTTGTTTCCATCGGCCGCAAGCCGCAGGCGGCTAATGTGTGATGATGAACAAAAAAAATTGAATAAATAACATTTGCCGTGGTTGGTAAATATCATAAGAGTTCTTTTTAAAATAGCCAAGGTACACACATTCAACATAACCTATATGTTATCATTAGGTGTGTGGGGGAATTTTTCTTTAGGTATGTTGGTAAAAAATAGAGGTAAAGTTTATTATTTTAGTACTATTAATTATTATTGTAATAAAATAGTAATTGTAATATTTGAGTTAAAAAAATTAATTTAATGCAAAATAGCGCAAAATAATGTGAAAAAAAATTAAACAAATATTAAATATAAAATAATCTGTTGCAACACT